TACCAGTACCATGCTGTCTTGACCACTAAGGCAGTGTAGTAGGATTTGAAATCAGGGAGTGAGATACCTCCTACCGTTCTTCTATTCTTAAGGAGTGCTTTGCTTATTCGGGGCTTTTTTCCATTCCATATGAAATTGGAGATTGCCTTTTCCATCTCATTGAAGAATGGGATTGGTATTTGTATTGGGATTGCATTAAATGTGTAAATTGCTTTTGGTAGTATTGCCATTTTCACAACATTGAGTCTTCCTATCCATGAGCAAGGGATATTCTTCCACTTTTCAAGATCTCTTTTTGTTTCTTGTAGTAATGTTTTGTAATTGTCTTGGGAAAGGTCCTTTGTACTTCTGGTTAAATTTATTCCCAAGTATTTAATCTTGTGATTAGCTATTGTGAAAGGTATTGTTTCTCTTAGTTCTGGCTCTGTATTCTTTTTGTCGCTGTAGAGAAATCCAACTGATTTTTGTATGTTGATCTTGAATCCTGCTACTTTGCTGTATTGGTCAACTATGTCCAATAGTTTTCTTGCTGAGTATTTAGGGTTTTCTAAGTATACTATCATGTCATCAGCATAGAGGGATAATTTTACCTCCTCGTTGCCTATTTGGATACCTTTTATTCCCTTCTCTTGTCTTATTGCTATTGCTAAGACTTCCAAAACAATATTGAATAAAAGAGGTGATAGTGGGCATCCTTGCCTAGTTCCTGTTCACAGAGGAGGGAGAAAACTGTTTAAAAGAGATATATGACTAGGTATTTCTGTCATCACAGGAGTCTAGAGCGAGGGCTACATGGTGGAGGGGACCTGGGGGAGGGTTTGTAAAACAATGAAAGAATCTTTTCTTTTACTTTTCCATAATTTTTGACTCATGTACTTATAACTTGTTAGTCAAATTTGTGTCTTCTGGGTTTCAACACCCCCATGATACATCTTCAAAGATATGAACATATATGGCCAAGCACAATCAATAAGAGTGCATCTAAATTCCAAAATCAATCTCCATAATAGTCTATGTGTTTCCTATTGCCAAAGGGGCCCTTTAGAGTAGTGAGAGAAGATCTTCACCCTGAAACCCACAGCGTCCCTTTTCAGCAGGAAGTAGCTAAGAGAATACGCCATCCCCTTTTCCTTATGAATCAGGGTGAAGTCTCTCTCAGGGAGGAGTGATAGGGAATGGCAAAGGACACACCGACAAAGGAGATTAATCACAACTGACTTTGACAAGCACTGTGGCAACTGGACAATTAAAACAGACATTCGGATGGCGGGGAAGAAGAACAAACTGGGGAGGAGGGTGGGGAGAATGGTGCGGCAATGAAGGAGTGAAAGCCCAGAATCCCTGTGAATGTTCATTGAAACAAATAAAATTTAATAATAATAAAAGAAATCACAATTTTATTTTTTTAAAAGAAGCTGGGGAAGTGTCTTAGGCAGGGGAAAAAGTGAAACTTGTTCTTCAGGCTTAGGAAAACAAATGCTGAGCAGGTAGGGTTGTGTTCTTTAGAGGGCTTTCTGAGTTCCAGTGTAGCAGTTACATAGACTTGTTAAATGATTTTGGATTACATTAATTTGAACCTAATTCCATTAAATAGGATTGCTTATTTGAGTTAAGGGGTCTTTTCTGGTGGCTTAGTAGTAAAGAGCTGTGCCGTCACATCCACCAGCTGCTTTGTGAGAGAGAGACAGGCAAGCATGCAATTTATAGCCTCTGAAAACAGATTCTACAGCAGATATTGTCACCTGGTCTTTTTGAATTCTGACTTAGTTCATTTAACTAAATGTGTGCTTCTCCAGTTACACTTTTGATTGTACACAACCTTTGCATACAGATTTCATTTCCTTTCAATTGGTAGAATTATATTGTGTCAACTTGATTACATTTTAGCCAGTGTGGAAGTTTGAGGCCAAAACAGTGTTATTTTTGAAGCATCAAGGAGAAGGAATCAAAACCAGGACCAAATTTTATATTCAAATTGTTTACCTTCCATGCTAGGAACATTCCTAGATCATTACAGTGACCCAAAAGACTTAAATTAATGCACATGATTCTCTTACCGGCAAGAAAATAACACTATGCATTTTCTCATGAATCTAGAAATTAGTGAGACATTTAACCAAATGTCCTTTATTTTCTTGTTATGTAGGTGTATCACTTTGAAAAATATTTGGCATCATGAAAGCTTAGAAGTCTCAAAAAAACCAGAAAAATCGATGTGTGGTAAGACCTCTCCATCTTCACCTATCGCCTCTCTTCCAGTAATCCACTGCCAATATTCTTCAGCATTTTTCTTTAGGGACAGTGTCCTGAAATGATTAGTTTATTATTTTTCCTGTATTTCAATGCTGTTATATAATTTGCCTTTTCCAGGATATACCACTTTAAAATAATGTATTTTATTAATTTTGAAGGTTGGCATGACATCAACTTTGTTCTGGGGATATGTCCAAAGAACATGGTAAAGCATATTGTTTTCATTTATTATCATTATAGCTTCGCATTCAAGAAATTCCCTAAAGGTCTAGGAGATGCCTAGTTGAGGCTGTACTGGATTGTTTGTCCTCTCAGAAATGAACCGATCATCTTGGGTGCTGCTGGGCATTAATTGAGTGGCCACAACAGAATTCTGTTCCAGCCTGTCCATGATGGACAGCCACCTGGAAGTCACAAGGGCACAGGGTTTGCTACAATTCTTCTATGCAGGCCCACAGTTCATAATGTATGCTGCAACTCTCCAATGCAGGCCCAGATGGCTTTTCATGTCTGAGTGAACTGACCTTCTTTCTGTATTATGCACAGTTAGGACTCCAGAAATTGTCTTTTTTCAGTCCAGAATCAACTTGGATTTTATAGAGTTTGATGTCTAGTGCAGCACAATTTCCATGGTTACTCAAAGAACAAACTTTCCGAATCTGACCTTTGTCAGCCTTAACTAGAAGTGATGAAATCTAGCAGAGTAAAGCGAGTCAACAAAGTTTGGGAGATCTAGTACTTATTTATCAACTACTGCCACCACATCTTCCATTTACAAGCTGAACTGCCTGCCTATTGCTAGCTTAGGGACAGACAGGCAAGCAACTCTGCACATTAGGGAATATTTTGAGCTAATTATTAATATTATAGGGCTAGTCAGAGATGGCATCTTATTTCTGAGTTAAAATTACTAGACTCTCAAGCCAGAATGACTTTTAAATATATCAAATACTATGACCTCATGCATTGCATGTCATCCCTAAGATACACACACACAGTGTACACAGGTACATACAGTATGTACTATTCATAAGTACGGCATTTTAAAAAATTACAAATGATAAAGCTAAATTTATGTGAATTACAAACCTATCACTTCTGTGGTAAATAACTGAGAATACCTCTTTAACAGTGAATGTAGTTTTTTCCACACAATTTTATTTATATTCTTTCAAAATAGTATTATAATATTAATTCAGTAAATCCACAGGTATTTTTGCTGGAGTATTTTGACATCTTTTTTTAATTAAACTTGGCAGACATTAAGTTAGTATTTTCATTTTTAATCAACTACATGTACCACAACTTAAAAATACAATATAAAGCATTTTTGTTCATAGGACTATTATGAGTCAGAGTAAAAAAAAACCAGCAAAATACTTTGGTATGTCATACCATCCTGATCTTTATAACTTAATGTTGCCCTGAAATGACAGCATTGCATGTTAATTCTTAAGAGCAAGCTTGATGCGGATCTTTAGTATGTTCACTGCTTGCCTTCAGTTCTTCTAGGCTTGCACTGCTGCCAGACTTTACCAGTTTACCAGTGATAAAACTTGGTGTGTGTGTGTGGCACCATTTGTAACAGATCCAAGTAATGTACAGACACAGGCTAATTTATGCCCCTAACGTGTCTTTGAGAAAGAAGTGGAGCCCAGAAGGTCTGGAAAAAGTGGAAAGAGAGACTGCATCAAGCTGTGATATCCTGTAGTAAGAAAACTTGGAACAAAGTGTGAATTGCATAGCAAATCCAGGTATACCAGATGGTTTCAACTGTACTGTTTGATGCTTAACACCATATCTTGACTCTGTATGCTCCATTTTGGTTTATGAGGGTTGCTAGGAGTGCCTTATGCTATCTTTTAACCACATATATGAGAACCAGGGGCCCATACACAGGAAGCTGTGGAATGACCATCTCTTACTGACACAGCCTTGTCTGACTGTAGCATGTCATCTTTTCTCTATTGAGAGAACATGGAAGAAACACAGGTTCTAGAACCATCCAGAGATCAACATTTAACAAAAACCAAAGATCTCTGTTCTTAGCAAGTTAAAATAACAATTTTAAAAATAGTCAAAATCACTTAGAAATTTTAATTACAAGGATTTTTGCATTCAACACTTCTGAAATATAAGTTTTGACCCTTCCCTTTTTCTGTATAAAGGCTAGAAAGGTGCCTTAATGAAACCTTGTGCCTTTTCATATGCACATATCCACAGTCCAAGTTTCTTTCTTATGAAAGGGTATTCTGAACACAGTCCCAAATAAATTTTGTATTGGGATCCTAGGTTGTAAAACTTAGAGAGCAAAACGAAGACAGGAAGTAACTCTAATAAAAAAAGCAGTAAAAGCTATATTTTTATCTTTGTTTCTTCTAAGTTAAACTCAGAAATAAAATTATGAGGAAAAATTAAAAACGGCTTAGCTTTCACCCATCCTCTCCCAGCAAACACACTAGCCAGAAACTTTGTGCAGTTTTAAAGTGCAGTGACTACTTGGAGTCACTCAGGCCAGGAAGTAGTAGCTCAGGAACAGCCCAGACTGGACGAAGTTTAAAGCAGACTTCGGACAAGCACTGCTCATGACTCAGGGGCTGGAAGGGAAGAAGATGGGTGGGGGAAGGGAAGACAACAATTCTCAGACATTTAAATGTATCGAGAAAAAAACATATCCTTTTTTTGTAAGGAGAATCTGTAAATTATGAGGAATCCTGGCTTGGAAAAATAAGACTTTTTAGAAAGTTCTATCTGAAAATGTTCCAATGAAGCATAGTCCAAAAACAGGTGAGTGCAGGAAAGTAGGCAGGGAAGTTCTGATCCTGCGAGGCCCCACTTCCATAAGGGTGGGCTCTGTGTTCTTCAGTCAAGTCTTCAGCCCTTGGTGCAGATGAGGCACACTGCACCAAGGGCATCTGGTAAGATGTGGCTCTCTTCTCTGGCCTGTCAGGACTAGACCCATCACTAGGCCTCTGGCCATTGAATAAGAGGTACCTGCCCTGGGTATCCTGTTCCATCTTGAATATCTCATACTCTGTATGGGGCAGTTTGATGCCGAGGGCCACACAGCCATTGGTGTGTGTCACATCCTGTTGAATGCCCACCTGCCAGGAGCCTTCAGCACCGCACTCGTTCCCGCTGAAGACATTGAGGAGCGATGCTGTGGCGGCATCCATGGGTGTGACCTTCATGTGGTTCACTGCAGAGAGAAAGGAGACCATCACTGACTCTGAACACAACACAACAAGAGTCGGCTAAGCAAATTCTGGAGGCAACAGGGCTAGATAAGACTTCCTTTTTAAAGCCAGCCACAAACTGACCAAGCATGCTGCCCCCAAGCCATATGACCAGGCAAACAGATGTGGCAAGAGTTCAACACATCTGTTTGAATGGTGGTCATACTCAAGATATTAGAGTTTTGATCAGAAAAAATAATCTATCCCGTCTATGTTTAAATGTTGAACCCAGACTATAGTGATAGACTATGTCTGCTCCTATGAAATAAAACCAAAGCACATGGTGGGAACAACTCTTTGGGCTTCACAAAATAAATGAAAGCTGGAATTTTGTTTTTATCAAAGGTTTGAAAATCTTTAAAAGTTTAGACTAGTTAACATTCTTGCTAATTAGAAAATGCCTATAAATCCAGCTTTCAAAAGAAATTAAGCTGTAAGTAAAAAAAAAAAAAAAAAAAAAAAAGAAATGGCAGCCTTTCTAGATTAGTTCCTCTGAGGATTTTCCCAGGGTACTAAATCGTACATATAGCACAAGATACGTAAGAAGGTATCTTGTTGGTGTAGTATTAGTAAAGATTTTTCTTTTCTTCTTTCTTGGGTCTTTCAAAGGTTCAGTCTTCTGGGAACAAGCCCTCCTTCTGCATGGTCCCTCCCTGCGACCTACTGGGCTACTGACAAAAGTCATGTTAAACCGACTGAACCTGAAACAAATCTTATCTACACCTTATGTCTTACTGTAACCATGAGAGGGTTGAGATATTTTTGTGAAGATGTTCAAGTTGGTTTTGGGGTTTAAAAAGAAAAAAATCTGGCACCAGAAATCATTATACTTTCCTAAGTACTCAAACTACTAACCCAAAGCCTCGAGGTTTGAGCCCCCTCAGAGGTGCCCTGAAAGAAAGGCCAAGGTCTGCTTTCCAAAGGTCACAGTGAAAACACTATGCAACAGTTTTAGCCTGCACGCCTGAGGTCACCAGGCATCAAATCAACTCAACAGAAAATGGTTAGACCCCATTGCTGATGATAGCTTAATTCATCTCATCCCTTATCCACATCACTTTGATGACCAGCTCCTAGCATAAATATCCCCAAGGAAGCCTTCTCTCCTTCAACATGGTACATGACAAGCTCAGGACTATGGTTGTTAGCTCTGAGCATCTCAAGTATAAAGCCAACTGTGTCCTCATGGACTGCTAAATGCAAGTAAATGTTATCCCAGGGGTGGTGAATTTGCCATCAATTCTGTATGAGAAAGGAAGCATGTAAACTGTATTTTTCCTAGGAATTCTACCCAATGCTTAATCTTTAATGTTTCATGTTATTTATGTGATGCAGTAACACAAGCCTGATCCTGGAAGTGTGTAGGGACTTGTATTTGAGGCTATCTACCCATCCTGGATCTGGGTCAAGAAGTTAGAGCGTGTTTTGAACAAAGGGCTTGGGGCAAGAAACATTCTTTCTCTTGGGCTTGGCCTCTACACGAATATCACAAGTCACTCAGGATTTCTCAGTCCTTAGGCTGCATCACCTGGGATCTGGGACTCACCTTTGAACACAAACTCTGTGCCTCCCATGACATGGGTGGAGTGCACTCCCCGGCTGTAGCGCCCTCTGGCGTAGATAGTGAAGGTGGGGTGCTTACAGATGGGGTCGGAGTAATGGTAGTAGTGGCCCTCCCAGGTGTTGTTGTTGTCGTGGAATATGAAATGGCGAGTGAGGAAGAGGACCTCAGGGCGTACCTCACAGCGCTGGCTCACCCACTCCCCATGCAGGCCAATGGTCAGGTCAGCCTTTGGGGGCAGGATTGGGGGATGGTGCTCATCTGAGCGGTAGATGATACGGCAGGCAATGCAGGCATGGTCGTGGTTCTGAAGCCAAGAAAGAAACATACTTAGAGATTTCCCTTCACAGGAAAACATACTACCTTTGCAGTGGGGCTCCTGGCCAGGTAGCAGAGGTCCCAGGTCACCTCCACTGGTAACTGGAGGATACCTAAGAAACAACAGGAGACAGGCTTGGGCACACAGACCATAGTGAATGAGCGCTGGTGTCTCCACGTGTGTGAGTGCGCATGTGTACGCATTCGCAAGCACACGCGATGTTTTACTGACTTGACAGACTTTCCTGGAAGGGGTTGACGCAGTGACTGTAACAATAGGCTGGAGAGTATTAGAGATGGTGAGGATGGCACAGGATAGGGCAAAGTTCAGATCTACTGTTTATAGGGTACACAGTCACTTCATCAGCACCTAAAGACATAATAACAGCTTTCAGGAAGTCTCTGGTGACATATATGATTAATATACTTGGTTACTCATCAGCAGGTTGGAGGTTTGCGTCTACTCAGAGGAACCCCGGCAGGCTTATCTAGTGATAGAAACTTCCAAACCTCAGCCACCGACAACCATGTGTGGCTCGGTTCTAACACGCTTGGGTATCATGAGTGGGAACCATACCCCTGTCAGCAGGTTAGATGGCCCTGCTCTGAAGTAAAAACTAATTGGAATCCTATCATGTTTTCAGCACACACACTTAATTTCCAAAATCAATGGCAGCCCTCTAATTGCTGGGAGCGAGAACATTGTCTACTGAAGACAGGGAGCCTGCTCAGAGGAGAGCTGGAGGCAGTTTGCAGTCTGCATAGCAGGAGGCAGGCAGCACTCCATCTTTTTTCTGCCTGCTAGGCTTCAAGGTTTACAGATGCTCAATTCATTTCCTGCTTTTACAGCTTTGGGTATTTAATAAGTGTAAGACAGGTGCTGATCTACATTTCAGGAGATGAACTAGTGCTTTTGTAGCATTCAGATGGGCCACCATAATCTCATGTCATGCAAATAATTGCATTAAACGTGAGTATGTAGTTTACCTGGAGAGCTTCAAACCTGTTGCTGTGCAGTTGAATCCCTTTAACATTGTGACCTTGTATGTGTCAGATGACAGCTAAACTCCATGGGGTTTCAATGAGCATGATTTTATGGAAGTAGGTCAATTGGCCTTGCTTCTGTTTTACTCCTAGATGGATGTTAACATTTAGCCTTTGATTAGTAATTTGGGTATAAACCATTCGTCCCTACCAAGTGCTTGGAAGGGTGTCCAAAAATCTAGGCCTGGAAGTCAGAAGCCCTGTTGTTGGACCTACCATTCTATTATCTATAGCTACCTGACCCAAATTACAAGACAGCTCTGATCCCGGAGTGGGGACAACCTTATTGCTGTTCTCTCCCTATCATACAAATCATCACAAGAGCCAACCAGGCTAAAAAAACACCTGGTCAAACTAAAAGTATAATGTAAATGTGATGAAGGTGAGGCAGGGAAGGTGGTAAACAGCTCAGTGTTCAAAGAGGCAGCTGAGCTGTAATCAAGACAAGCACTAAGCTCCAGGTCCAGTGTCCACAAAGGACAGCTCCCACGGACACTGCCACACAGGCACTCACTGTTCTGGATGCCAAGTGTTTTCCAGGAATTGTTCTCTAAAGTCAGTGATCTAAAACATCTAGGATCTTTTTGTTTTCAGTACTCATTTGACTTGATCTTATTATCAGTTGTATTAAAATGTCACTTGATCTTATTATCAGCTGCATCTATTGATTGATTTGTTTTGGGTCCTGGATTTTTCAAGAAGGGCAGGGGAAAGAGGAGTGGCCTTATTATTGCCATATTTTGTGTTCTCAAAACTTAAAAGTAGATAAGTTAGGCAGTTACTTTAATTACATGAACTTAGAACTGCAATTGGTGAAAGAGAATGTTTCCTATTCAAACATAATTTTTGGCTTGTAAGGACACCAAAATTCACTGCTGCTCGCTGCTTTGTAGTAGCCACCTGTTTGCCAACAAAGGGTTCTGATTGCACAAGACTTGTCCTGCATCTGCGGTGAGAGTGTGCTGCTGTCTTCAAGTTACAATGAATGGAAATCACCAGTACATAGCCCATTAGAGCTGTCATCAATTGCAGCACAGAAAGAGATGGCTCCGGCAGGTCCTAGTACGAGGTCCATGCCCACTCTTTTAGCAGCACCTATTATTGAGACTCTACCCTTATCAACAGTCATCAACCTTGGACAAGCTTATCTCTCAAATTAAATTTTCTCATTTATACAATGGAGGTCACTTAAGGATGGCTTGATGGTTCCCTTTCAGGGAACCTACAGCCATAGGGCCTAATAGTAAGATGCTCCATGGGAGAAGGATGGGCAATCTCCTCTCATGGGATTAACTGCCTCTGAAAACCTACTGGAGAGTCAGCTATGGGTTAGTTTTGACTCCATGCTACACAACAACAGAGCCATTGTGGAGAGGGAGTTTTCTCACTTATTTTAGCCATCTTCCCAGAAAGGAAGAAACCACTTTTTATGATCTTGCTATTGATTTCACATGCAAGCCAAGATTCTACTGAAGATTATCCAAAAATGACTGAAACAGCACATCAGCAGAGAGCTACCAGAAGTCCAAGCTGGGATTCGAAGGGGTGGTGGTACTAGGGATATTGTAGCTAATGTTAGATGTATCTTAGCTGAAAGCAGGGAATACCAGAGGAATGTCTATCTGTGTTTCATTGATTAGGCAAAGGTGTTTGACTGTGTGGATCATAAAAAACTGTGGCTGACTCTGAGAAGAATGGGAATCCCAAAACACTTGATCGTTCTAATGTGAAACCTATACTTGGACTAAGAGGCAGTCATCAGAACAGAGCAAGGAAACACTACATGGTTCAAAATTGGGAAGGGCATACACCAGAGATGTGTCCTGTCTCCATACCTTTTCAACCTGTATGCAGAACAGATTTATCAGGGAGGCTGGGCCCTATGAGGAGAAATGTGGCATCAGGATTGGTGGAAGATCTATCAACAATCTGCATTATGCAGATGACACAACCCTGCTTGCTGAAACTGAGGAGGACCTGAAGCACTTGCTTCAGAGGGTCAAGGACTGCAGCCTTCAATATGGACTGAGGCTCAATATCAAGAAGACAAGATTCTCACCACTTGACCAGATGGCAACCTCAGGATGGATGGTGAAGAGACTGAGATTGTTCATAGCTTTAGTTTGCTTGGCTCCACAGTCTACATTCTTGGCAACAGCAGCCAGGAAATTAAAAGGCATATTGCCATTGGAAAGTCTGCTGTTAGGGACCTCTCCAAAGTACTGAAGAGCAATGGTGTCTCTCTGGAGACTAAGGTGTGTCTGATACAGGCCATGGTTTTTGCATTCACTTGTTATGCATGAGAGAGTTGGACAATGGCTAGGGAGGATAGAAGAAGAATTGATGCCTTTGAGTTGTAGTGCTGGAGAAGAGGACTGAGTGTACCATGGAAAAAACAAACAGATTTATCTTAGAGAGGGTTAAACCAGGCTGCTCCTTGGAGGCAAGGATTCTGAGCTCCGTCTGACATACTTTGGACATGTTGTGATGAGGGACTGGTCCTTGGAGAGGGACATCATGCTTGGGAGGGTGGAGGGACAGTGCAGGAGGGAAAGGCCCTTTATGAGGTGGATTGATTCAGGGACTGGGGTAATCGGGATGGGTGTGTTGGAGACAGTGTGATTGGCACAGGACAGAGAAGAGTTTAGGGTCGCCATGAGTCGCAAGCGACTCAACAGCACATAACAAAAACAAATGAATAAACATAAGAGAGGCAAGTGTGAAAAAAGATAAGATTATTCAAAAGCATTATTTCTTAGGTTAAAATTTTGTCCAAGGAGGAGAAATGAGAACAGATAATGGAAACTTCTTTTAAAGTTTTGTTCCAAGAAATAACCAAGGGATAAAGGCCACACTAATTTTTTCAGGGAGCTGTGCTGGCCTCGTGGGTAGAGTTGTGCTGAGAACCCAAGGATGATCTCTCACTGAAAGGCCTCCTGGAGGACCAGCTAGGAGTTGGCTCTGACTCGACTGCAAGGAGTTTGAGCTGTGAATTAAATATTTTTCAGAGGAAACTGTCAAGGCCAATGATCAATGTTAAAGATTTATTTTCACAACTATCCCTGCCATGTGTTTAGTTAAATTTCCTGTAGCAATTTCTAGATCTGTCTGTACCCTTTTGGATCTTTCTCACTTCTTTATAGTTATCTGCGGCAAATACCAAATAATTATTCATTTTTTAAAATGTCTCATAAGGTCCTGAAGAGATGCACTGGCAGAAATACTGAAAGCTCTAATTTGGTATTTAAAAAGATTATTAGAATAAGCTACCACTTACAACACATCATGAAGGTTGATCTGCATTGCAAGATAGATGTTGGGTATTATTTTAGACGGTATGGATTCTGGGTCACTCAGTCACCTATGAGGGATCACAATTTCACTTTTCAGAAAGAAGGGAAAAGCAAAGTTGCATCTACACATGCTGTTTGCGTCTCCCCAACTGTAGCTCCAGGAATCCCTCACCAGCAGCTCCTGAAATCTAAATGCTCATTAGGAGGTGAGGTAGTTAATGCCATCACCATGGCCAGGTACCAACTTTACTTGCTGGTCACCTGCTGGCTAGGTGGTGGGTACCTACCAAAAGACTCAGAAGGTCTTACAGAGACTCACAGGAAGACTCCATAGTGGTGACTCATGACCTGGGGAAAAAAACATTCATTATGGTGTCCAGGTCCAGTAAAATGGTGAGAGAAAGCAAAAAGCATGGATGGCTGATTCCCCATGTTCTGTATTTGGTTATTGAACACTGGGAGGGAAAGCAAAGTCAACTGAAAACTCTTCTGTATGAGGAAGGATGGAGCGGATCTTCAGGAGCAACCTTGTGCTTCTGAAAATGGGTTCCCTAAGAAGTTTAATCAGTTGCCATGAATTCAGTTCCAACTCTTGGTAAACCCATCCATGTCAGTGTGGAACTGCACTCCGTAATTGCATAAGATATTCAAT